ATTTTATAGTAATTACCTTTTTCCTTGTAACTCAACTGAATGAGCTTCGATGTACCGCATTAACTTCTTTTTCTATGTGTAGACTTTATTTATTTGAAGTAATTACGAAAAATAAAGTAGGTAAATAGGGGTGAAATTGTATGTATTTTTGTGTGAGTGACTTCTTAACATCTTGGTTGAGGATGCAAGGTTGATGGAATGGAGAGAGTGAACGTGTCGAGAGGTCAATTCTCAAACTTACTATGACGAAAAGAAGAAGACACATTCTAAAGAATTTATAATATGTTGCTTTTATTTGATTAATACTTGGTAGAACCTTATTGTGGTTCTCTATAATTTTTGTAATCGTAGTGTTCATAATTATTTACTTTATTTAGATACCTATGTACCATTTGATACTACCTCTAAACAAGTCACATAATATCGTCAATTGTAATGTTTATTAATACACTCGGCATCACATCACAGGCCAATAGCAATTCTCTCTGCGCTTCCAAAACTATTTGAATCGATTTTACACAAACACATTAGTTTACAAATACAACCACATTTATGTGATTCACAACACGGATTCAGATTTAACCGCTCTGTAAGTACTAATCTCCTAACAGTAGTAGACATTATTTCGCAACACTTAGATAAAAATATTCAAGTGGATGTAATTTATTTTGATTTCAAAAAGGCCTTTGACCGTGTGGATAACGATATATTACTTGGTAAACTCAATGATATAGGTTTCTCACCGCAATTACTTAAATTTTTCTCAAACTACCTCCGTGATCGTCAACAATATGTAAGACATGGTTGTTTTGTTTCTCCACCTTATCACACTCGCTCCGGTGTAAGTCAGGGTTCCGTATTGGGCCCTTTGCTGTTTGGATTGATGGTGAATGACCTAGAATCTTGTCTCAAGCATGCGAGGTGTTTATTGTATGCTGATGATCTTAAACTTATTTATGGGGTAAAAAATTTTGCAGATGCAGATACCTTACAGAATGATATTGATGCTTTGTACCAATGGAGCAATGAAAATAAACTCCATTTTAATACAGCCAAGTGTAATGTAATGTCCTTTAGTCGAGCACATAATCCTTTGCATGTTAAATACTTTTTGGGGTCAGAGCTCATAAATCGAGTCCACACTGTAAAGGACTTGGGTGTAGTCTTCGACCCTCGACTAAACTTTCACGAACATATGAGGTTACTTACAATTGACTCTTATCGCAGATTAGGTTTCGTTATCCGCAATATGCGTGAATTTGATAATCCTAAAGCTATCAAACTTGTGTACATGGCTCTAGTTCGTACCAAACTAGAGACAGCGTCTATTGTATGGAATCCTCACGAGAGTACTTATGCTTTATTGCTGGAGAAAGTGCAAAAAGCATTTCTTAGATTTCTGTACAAAAAGCTATTTGGGTACTATCCATTCTTATATCCCACCAAGTTTTTACTAGGCATGTTAAATTTTAATTCTTTGGTAGTGAGGCGAAATTACTCTCTAATTATTTCTACCTGTAGTACTCTGCGAGGACAATCTGACTGTCCGGAGCTGGTGGCACAGGTTGTACGGTTGTTTGTGCCCCCAGTTCTGAAGCATCAGCTTAGGCCACGTAGGCACCCCTTACTGGCTGTCCCAGTAACGCGAACAGTCGCGCATGCAAATTCTCCGCTTGTTCGAGCATTAACAATGATCAATGCTTTCCTGGCTTCCGCACCAGAGTGTGATTTGTTTGCAGCGAGATGGAAGGATGTATGTCGTGAATGTGTAAGATTTTGCGAGAAGATGGACGACTGATGAATTAGTTTTAAGTAATTATAATTATCGTTCCATTTTTATAAGATACCTGTTACGTAAGTGTAAAATAGTAAATAAGTAACATTTTTTTTTATTGTTTAACTGTATAATGTTTTGGCTTGTGCTGTAAAATTATACATGTGCTTATAAATAAATAAATAAATAAATAAATAAATCACAAACACATTAAACATATATACTATCCACCTACGTCACATTAAATAAAATATAAAACTTTACCAGATGAAATAAAACTTTTAATATTTCTAATTAACAACTAGTTAGTAGTCGGTATTATAAAGTTACCAACGGCAACCTATTACAAATGTTGCCATATGAAAAAATATGTCGTGCAGAATATGACAGACGGTAGTTACTGAATGTATGGTATACCTGTAAGTTCATTTGGTGGCAATAACGTAAGGAATTTATGAGGCCCTTCACTACAGTGTTACCAGACGTTCGTAGGCTTTTGGATAAATTATTGGAATATGACGTGACCTTGGTGGCTTGGTACCAACTAGAATAGAGAACCTTGAACGAGGCTCGTCTGCCGCCTGTCAATTAGCAACTATTCGATGTTGTGAGTTACTGCTCGGATTAATTTAGGCAGGATTCTAATTCTGATTTCAACCTCTGTTATGTCGAATTACCAATGCATACTCTATTGTATTACACACCTGATACTTAGAATCAAATTTTTGTATTTTATAAGATAAAGTATTTTAATAAACACTGGTACTCTACGAGTTTCTCGAATGTGACAAGTTTGGCTGCTCATAAAAATTGCAACGAGCTCACAACTAACGTGCCGAAATGAAGCAAACAAAAACACAGCTCATGCCAATTCATTAAAACTTTCCCGCTGATGACCTCACTCGCAACACCTACTATTTATACCGGGATGGTAGAATTTTCTCCCGACTGGCAACACTAACGGCGCGACAACGAGCCAAAGTTAGATTGCAAGAGGCCATAACCCCGCTTCTCCACTTCAATCTCCCCTATAAGATGAGAGGTGTTTGCGAGATGTCGGCTAGAATTTTTTCTTGACGCGGATAATCTAATTTGGGTCGTAAATGTTTTTATTAATAAATAAGGCGGGGATGAGAGGCGACGCGGTGTCTTGAATGTATAAGACAAACGAGATGCTCCAGGAACTTTGCGCCGGAAGGTACACGCAACGGTTGAACTTTGAAATGGACGAATTAATTCTTAAGTAATGTCCATACTGAAAACTTGGTTATCGATATCATTAAAAAAACAATGCTGATGGCGAAGGTTCCAAAAAGTATGCTATACAAAGAGTAAAGAGATAGGAAGGTCAGAAAAAAGAAACTTTTGTGGTCAGAACATAAAGATGCGTCGCAAATGTCCATCAAGGATTCTGTACTTTATAACCATTTAGGTCTATACTGATTGGGTAGAAGAGTCCTGGTAATAGGTACCATCGGTGATTTTACGTAGATACGTTTTTTGTAGGTTATATTAGTATAAAAAGTACAGTTTTTAAGCAGTTGTAACCGATTATTAAAATCAAAACCCAACTGAGTATTAACGTGTCTCAGATTTTCATAATCAGCAACCCAATCAAACTTATGCACTATGACCAACAGATTTCAAACATAACTCGTCGAGTACCGTCATTATAGACACAATTATAGAACAATAGGTTACGGTCACCGGTGACCGCTTGGTGTTTGACAGTTTAAAATCATTAAAATATCTTCTATAACACCACCACAACTCCACTCAACCAAGGATATCAAGGCGTGATCTTCAAATGTTGTTTCCCAAGATCCTGATGCAGATATATTGATGTCTAGTCTCAAAACTTAGTATCTAAAGACTCGTGTATCAGGCTGAACCGACGTGTACTCGATGTTATTCCTCAGACACGTCTTAGGATTAGGACCAACTCTAAGATAAGCAATAGGCATTAAATCTGCAGGTGTTTCGGTTCCATTCCCATTGCCCATCTCGTTCAGATGGCTGTTAATTCTTTTGTTTGGCGTAGGATTTATCTTAATCGACAATTTCTTTGGAATTACAAGGCGTGTTGTCATTATGTGAGACTATAATATTACATGTTTGAAATCGTTTATATTGCACCATAAAGTTTGTTGTGAGTGAAGTGAAAAATGTGTATGGTATATAATATTTTATACCTATGTAGGTAGAACAACAACAGACAAAAATGTGTGCATGTTACTTTGTTTCAACTTGCCCTTGTCCAACTTTGGTACTCGCAACGCCATCTAGTAGTACGAAAACGAACTAATAGTTGTGTTGACTACAAAAACATAGTTTTGAAGATAGTTTTCTTATCAAATCGAGTTGCTTGACTAGAAATGTGTGTGTAATTAAACAATATAAAATAATATTGAAAACTTGAATAATTAGCTTCCTAATAAGCTAATAAATACTGTAAATACTTATCTAATTTAATGTTAATCGATTTCTTTATTCATCTGTTTGAATAAATACAAACTACAAGCAAATAAAACCACAAATTATAAATATCTACACGTAGGGATTGACCCTGTCTGTGGTCCTTTGAGCAAACAAAAAAAAATGTCCAATTCTTGTAGGAAAAAATCAGCAAGCAAACTTATTTATTATTTTTATTTATTCATGTTTAATTAAGCGAATCGTGGCTGGATGGCTATTGTCCGACTTACCTGCTCGATTTAAATCGCCCCGCAACCGGTTACCGGCCCGTCATCCGACTTTTATTTTCAACAATTTTTGTACCAAAAATATCACGACACGAGTCATTCATCACATAGGTAAATAAAGAATATCCTCAAAATATCATCATCAGAGTATACCTATTACCTAGCACTTCTTCTCACTTTAACACAATGTTTTGATATTTTTTACAAATCAAGTAAAATAAAAAATACAACACGAGTGTTAGTCATTTTATTTTTGTCAAACTTTTTAATTGTAATCTTTTATAGTGAAGATATACCTACATTCAGCCTAGTTTAAGTTTCGTTCATTCTGTTTCGATCACCTACATTTCGCATGGCGAGATTCAGAATTCGCGCCGCGCGTACTTATCAAAGAGCGCGGGCCTCGCGTCTGCTGCACGATGCCAGCGTTGTCCGTCAAACACCGGGGGCGGGCCGACGGGACGGGCTTCGGGATGTATTCGGATAACTTCGGAGCAATTCGGAGCGCACTTCTCACTCTGTAACTCGTGAAGTGAGCTGAGTCACAAATAAACAAGACAACGCAGAGCTCCTGATTTATTTCGTGTTTCGTCAAAAATAAGCACTGGTAAGTCATTTTGTGTCAATATTTTAGTGCTTAGAATGTTTATGACTATTGTCGTGGCCGTTCATTACGTAATAACAAGATCCGGTGTCGTACTATATTGTGTATTTATGCATCTAACGTCTGTACTTTTCAACTGTTTTTGACAACTTCTAACTCGTGTTTTTGCTCACCAAAGCTTTAATGATCGTGATAATTACTTTCTGTTTCATTTTACTAGTCGTAATTATTAACAAATACAGTTTTAAAAAGTCGAAACGAAACCACAGTAACATAACCTTAAAGAGTTTGACGTTGCGTTTATTAAAGTTGGCCAATAGATGGCGTTGTCCATCGGAGGCGGAGCTTGCTAACTGCCACACTAGCTCTGGACGTATGTCATTTGCGATAATTGAAGGTTAGTTCAGTATTGTCGAAAATTTTAGATAAGCGTTGTTTATGTTATGATACCCCCGTTCACCCCTGTCGGGTTGTAAATATGGGGTTCCGGATTGGCAGGCAAGTATTTTTAATCCCTCTATTTACTGGATATAATATATTTGACAAGTTTTTGTTTTAATGAAATACAGTCACCGTCATAACTTTCACGTTTATTTTTACCAATAATTTATTTTGCTATTATTATTGCTTTTATCATATTTTTCCTTGATTAATAGTTATAAGAAAATAATTTGCTTGAACAATGTAGACTTAAATTTATGGTTTTAATTCATTTTGCTGGAAAAAAGAAACGTCGTGCTACATTTCACTTGTTCAATGTCAGCTATGAGACGTTGAGAGTTCGTACACTGTTGATCCACTGCACCCTGTAGCGTCGTCAGAGAAAAAATAAATTTACAATGTAGACCATATCATGTTCCATTTTATTATTGTACTTACTGGGACTACAAATAATAAATACCTAGGGTCACTTTTATAGGTATTTTTACTACTTTCTCCAAACAGAACATACTTACTTACTTTTGTGCACTGCCCTAGTATCTTCATTGTTACAGTTACCTAATTTCAATATCTGTACCTTTCCCTATTGGTTTTCTTTTTTGAGCCATTATACCCATCATGACTTCAAAAAATATCAAGTGCATCCTTCTAGGTTAACTTATGCAAATCAAATATATTTTTTATTCTCTTTTGTGTGTTCGAGGTTACATGTCAGCGGTGTCAAAGACCGAAACAACTTGATACGAATGCCCAAAAATAGAAATTATTATACTACTTAAACAAAAAACTGTCGGTGCCTTGCGGACCGTCCAAGGCGTTGTTGGGGGCCGTCTCTTGACAGATTTATGGCGTGCGTGGCTGTTACTCGTACGCACTCTCCCCCCCTCCACCCCCCTCTAGCCTGCACCCGCGCCCTTCGCGACCCGCACGCCATCCCCTTCTCACGAAAATTAAATCGTTCCATATTTGAAATTCTTTTAAATCCCACACCGATAGAATTTTTGTTCTCTTTTCAATTTTTGATATTTTTATTTATGGCACCTGAGCATTGTTGGTGACTGTCCGCTGACGTTGAGACTTCCACTGGCTGAACATATTTATTAAGTTCTTAATCCAACCTTTTTTGTTTGCTATAATATAGACAAGGTAGATGGTTTTTCGTTCTTGTGTTATTTATATATCAACGCTATCTTTCACTTTCTTACTGCTCATTAAGTCACTAATTGTCTCCTTATCTATAAATTCCAATTATCTTTTTAAACACAACCGACATATTATCAAAATCCTAACCGTCCTAATAACCTAACCGTCTGATAACACTTAAAACTCTCACCCCGTAGCTGCATAGCTTTAAGAATCCCCCAAAGATTTATCGACAACCCCGACTTTCTTACACAAAAAAGCCAAACTTTTTTTTAATGAAAGCAAAAACTTTAAAATTTACGATCGTCACAAACAATGATAGTAATGCATCACTCGTCATAATGGACAGATTACGTCTGTCTGTACTCGACTGATTTACGAGTGCTTGCATAATAGCTAACTGTTCATAATACCAACAAAAAACGTTGCATTCATTCAAACATCCATAGAAACGGCTTTAGTAATTATAATTTGAAATTAGAATTCAAATAACGGTCTCCGATTTGAAATTAGAATTTGATAAAGCGGCCAGTACCAGCTTATTACTTGCCAGTGTTATTATAAATTAGTAGAACTTCCTTTCTCAAAGTTTTAAAAAGAATGGAGATTACAAAATATTTGACATCTGCTTAGAAGTGCTCACTTAATTAATTTGTTATGTAAGTGCTGATAATATTCAAAAATGTAAGTTTTAGTAGTCAAAAACCTTTCCAATAGAATAAGCGCCTTTGAAATATTGACGAGTCTTTATTTAAATTATGAATTTAAATATCATGAAGACAACGATTCGCCACGGGTCAATGTCAATGATAAATCTTATAGATTTATTGATTCGTTTTTAAGAATCTTGAATATGAATTATTTATAGATTTTTTTTTAGTTTTCCAGTTCTAAATTGTATGTTCTGTTAGAGGATCTAGGCTAACGTCATTTACATCAAAGCTGAAGTAATAATTAAGTGAACATCGATTATGAATTAAAAAATAAACATAGTGAACATTGCAATGGTTAAATTAAAAACAAAACGTTTATTTTTTGTTTTTCAATAATCAAATAAATCAAAATGGCCGTCACGTATACACCATATACAGCATGTTCAAAAACAAACGCACATTTATTTAGATACATATTAAGCTAATTAATAATAAATCCAATGTCCCGGATTACGGTGACGCGGCGGGACAAATGTTTCCGGTCGCACACGGAACGGCTTTTATTTATTTTTATTATTTTTATTTACGAAATAAAAATTTATGGTTGTCGAGACCGCCTTCCGTGAGATTTAGCGAGTGTGTCATAGACTCGGGGAGCTGAAAACTCGATCTGAATTGAATTATGTGTACGTTTTTAATGGTTTCGCGGTTCGTACGTCGAAAAAGGTTGTGGTAATGTATTGGTCGAATTGTGTTTGTGTGATTTAAATTCATATTATCGGCAGTCAAATGGATTTTGGGTAGCATTTTTTGCAATGTTCTCCATTATGTTTTGTTTTTGTTATTGTAACGGACTCCTTCTATGCATTCCTGGAAGTACAATTATGAAATAGTGGCTAAATCCCTAAAGCTAAGTGAAGAGTTCTTGTTTGATCGCAAAGGTTTAGTTTGGACCTTAGACAAGGTCTAAAACATGTTTTTCCGGCGCACAAATTTCCATAAGATGGCAGATTTCTTCAGAAGAATTTGATAAACATTTCAAAAATCCCTTAAGACAGTACTGTAAACACTACATCCTATAAGTAATTCAAACTAAATAGTAGGTACCTATTCAGGTAAATATCTTTCACAATATGAAACAAACAAACAATGTGAAAGAAATGGAAAGCGTTTAAAGGATCCACGACACTCAAGTCTCCATTACGCAAGGTTCAGCTATAAAACACGTCTAGAAGTCCCGCAGACCTTAAATAAAATAGCAGCAACGCGTCTAATGATTTATTTCCGACAACGCTTCACCAATGTACCTCAATTTACTTTCCATGCCCTCTTAATATAGTCAAGCAGCTATTGTTGAACACATGAAACAATCACCTTGTTAAACAGAGAAAGAAACACTATCTCCGTCAATTTATCTGCAGCCGTGCGGTGTACTAGCACAAACAGCCTGACAAACACACGCACACGCAAACAATAACTTGTAATACACGGCTGTGTACAAATTTAGTTATACACCCACTCCGACCCGACACGATTATTTATAATAAAACCCTTTTTTATACCATTTTGTTTCCGATTCAACATAAATAAGATATGTTATTTAAAGTCAATATATCACTTGACAGGTGGTAGGCAGCTATTTTTAATTTCACACACCAATTAATACTCAACAGCCTAAAGAATAAAGGTGTTATTCCCTTGGCATGCGTATATACTCGGGACGGGCAGACGTTTCATAAGATTTATACATATATCAAAGTAAGGCTTTGTGTGAATGTAGTGAGAGATTTTAATCAACGTCCGAATACAGCGCCAATAAGAGACCCGATTCGATTCCCGGCTCGTACAGGACGCTTGATGCGATTAATTGAGTTTAAACGATTAATTAACGATTTCTTCATAAAGATTTATATCGGTATCATGAAAACAAGACATATTTTTGAGTGAAAATTAAAATGTCAGATGTACTTAATATTTTTATGAATTGCTTTTAACGCACAATTTTTATTATTCTTCGAAATAAAGTTTCAAGTAGGTAGCAACCAGCTCCTGATAAAGAATAGTTGCAAGATTCTTGAAAAGCCAATAAAAGAAACAACGAATAATAGTAATGAATGAGATGCACCACCCTGTGTATAAAACTGAGTCACTAATCACGGAGTATCGTCCACATTATAGCTCCAGGAACTACATTACCGCAGTAATGATGTTGTAACTCATTGTAATAATTGTAATGTACTGTCCAACCGCCATACAGACCATTCAATACACAATCATTGCAATAAAACATCACACAAGGCGCTAACACTATCCATACATTTCCCAACAATATTCCTGTTCATTTATCATAAATTCGTAAATGTTTGCAACACCAACTTACACTACAAGTCCTCAAATAAAATTATTTTATCCAGTCCCACGGCTACATAAAAGGTTATCGACTCCGCAAGTAAAATATCTTTCGTAATCCGTATAATATTTAAATGCGGAAACTGTATCAAGTAATCATAAAATAACCGCCTTGTTGTAAGCCAAAGCCACAACTAACGCCATCTAGTACGGCAATAAAAAACCTGATGTGTTCCCACTCGATACGGTGGAGCTGGAAAATAGTGAGTTGTGTCCTCTGGCTAAATAGTGAAGTGTGTATTTTTGGATCGGTTCTGATTGTTCGTGGTCGGTGGCTGTCATGTCAATAGTGATGAGGTCACGTTTGGACAGCAGCGAGTGCTAGTGAGGCGCGTTGCGTCGGCGGCTGACGCGGCG